CATTTTTTGAGAGAGACAGAGAGAGAGAGAGACAGAGCACGAGCAGAGGATGGGTAGAGAGAGACAGAGACACAGAATCAGAGACACAGAATTCGAAGCAGGCTCTAGGCTCTGAGCTGACAGCTTACGTGGGGGTTAAACCCACAAACCGTGAGATCATGACCTGAGCCAAAGTCGGACGCTTAGCCAACTGAGCTACCCAGGCATCCTGCCCTTTTAACGTTTATTTATTTTTGAAGGAGGGAGAGACTGAGCATGAGCGGGGAGGGGCAGAGAGAGAGGGAGACACAGAATCCGAAGTAGGCTCCAGGCTCTGAGCCGTCAGCCCAGAGCTTGACACGGGGCTCCAACACACGAACCGCGAGATCATGACCTGAGCCAAATTTGGACACGTAACCAACTGAGCCACCCAGGCTCCCCTCTTATTATTTTGTTTAATGTGTATTTATTTCTGAGAGAGAGGGGAGAGAGAGGATCCAAAGTGGGATCTACGCTGACAGCCGCAAACCCAACGCGGGGCTTGAACTCAGAAGGGCGACATCATGACCTGAGCCAAAGTCAGATGCTTAATCGACTAAACCCCCAGGTGCCCCTGCTTTTTCAAGTTACAATAGGTTTTAAAACCTCACACATGAAGGGTGCCTGGCTGGCTCAGTTGGTAGAGCGTGTGACTCTTGATCTCGGGGTCATGAGTTTGTAGCCCAGTGTTAGGTGTAGAGATTAAAAAATAAATAAAAATTAAAATAAAAAATGGGCATCTGGGTGGCTCAGTCGGTTGAGCATCCGACTTCAGCTCAGGTCATGATCTCACAGTCCATGAGTTCGAGCCCCGCATCGGGCTCTGGGCCGACAGCTCAGAGCCTAGAGCCTGCTTCAGATTCTGTGTCTCCTTCTCTTTCTGTCCCTCCCCCATTCACATTTTTTCTCCCTCTCCCCCTCTCTCAAACATAAATAAACATCAAAAATCTCTTAAATAAATTAAAAAAAAAAAACTTCCCACATGACATGTGTAACTTTGGTGAAATTCCTTTTTCCTGACTATAGAACATTTCAGCATTCAACCTGACTGCAATTTATGCATTCTCCTACAGAGGGACTCTGAGACAGCTTCCCATCCTTCACTAAAATAAATGAAGCAGCTCCAAACATTCTGGAACGCGTCTCCTAAAACATATGAGCGGAGCGACCGTAAAGTACCCATCTAGGAGTGGAACTGTGTGGGATGATGCAAATCGCTCTTCAAGGTCGCTGTGTCCAAGTGTACTGCCTCCCGCAGAAGGAGAATGCCTCCCTGAGAGGCAGCTTCCTAAAGAACCAATCTGTTTTGCTCTCTGGCTTGAACTTTCCACGGCTCCCCATTGCCCCATGAGAAAGCCCAACCCCCTCGGCACAGAATAACCATGACCTGGACCTGGACCCTGACAAATAAGGTTCCGCTTTCAATTCCTACTTCCCTTACCAAATTCTTAGAACTCACAATGTAGTCCCTCTTAAGGTCTTTTGCTTCCTCCAAAGATCAGGCTGCCTGGGCCCTTTACAAATCCTGTTCCTTCTGCCAGGCATGCGTCACATCACCCGGCACTCCTGTCTGAGCTCTTGAAGAATTGGCCACCAATGGGAAAGCGCAACGTGTGATAGATATCCACCATTAGGCCCCCATCAGACTGTGGGTGAGGAGGTTTAAGAGAATTTCCTGGAAGACGGGGCCAATAAGCAAAGTCCCACTGGACAGACCTTCTCCTTCTCTGGAAGAAGAAATTACACTTTTGGGGGCACCTGGGTGACTCGGTTAAGCATCTCTCTCTTTTTTTAATTTTTTAAAAAATGTTTTTATTTTATTTTTGAGGGAGAGACAGCGCGAGTGGGGGAGGCGCAGAGAGAGAGAGGGAGACACAGAATCCAAAGCAGGCTCCAGGCTCCAAGCTGTCAGCACAGAGCCTGATGCGGGGTTCAAACCCACGGACTGTGAGATCACGGCCTGAGCTGAAGTGGAACACTTAACCAACTGAGCCACCCAGGCGCCCCTGATTTATTTATTTATTTTTTTTAAGTAATCTCTACACCCAACCTGGGGCTTGAACTCACAACCCTGAGGTCAAGAGTCACATGCTCTACCAACTGAGCCAGCCAAGTGGCCTTTCCTGAATTTTTTATTTGTCTCCATCAGCCATCTCTGCTGTTTTCCTATTCATTGTGTTCCTTGCTGGTTTTCCTATTGGAATATCAGCTCTACAAAGGCAGAGCTCTACAAAGGGCTGGCACACTACAGTTCCTCACTCGATGTCTGCTGAATATTCGAATGGGCAGAAGGATGGATGGCTGGATGGGCCCAGCTGCTGCTCTCAGCACCCCCATCCCCCACCCCCACCACATGGCCGATGCCCCAGACTCACCGACTTTGTGTGCGATGTGGATGCAGACCTCCTCTGCGGTCAGTGTGGCCTCGCTGAAGGTGACCCAGGGGTCCCCGCCATCAGGGCCAGCCCAGTGCAGGAGGACCTTTAGGCCTCCCCTGGAGACCATGGGCTGAGCCTCATCCCCATCAGGCCTGCTGTCCCTGGTGGTGGCACCCCAACGGCACAGAGGCATGCTCTTGACAGCTGGCTTGGCTGGGAAGAGACAGGCCATCAGCCCCCAGACCTTGACCTGACGTCCCCTCAACCTTCCACTCAGCCAGGCTAAGGCCTGAGGGGAAGATTCTGGAACCCCCTCTCTGTATGACCTCAGACACCCAATTCCTCTCCCTGAGCCTGTTTCTACATCTGTTTGATGGAGTTAGAGAACATGCCCGCACCTATTAGATCTGTCATGAACAATAACGAACCCCTTTATTGGACAGGTTTGCACCAATATAAAAACCTGTTTTGAACCCACCTTCCCAAAATCAACAGGCAGGCAGGTGTGGTGAGACAGACCAGGGGGGCAAATCTTGGATCTCTCCGTGTCAAATCAGACAAGTCACTTAGCCACACTGGGCCTCAGTTTCCCCATTGGAAAATGGAGATGCTGGGAGCATTGCCATGAAAAGATGGTTGTAACATCACAGCTCAGCCCTTAACGCAGGCATGAAAAAATAACAAATATGACAAAAACAAGAATAAAATCATTATTATTGCTTCCATCGTCCTTCTCTTACAGGCCAAGATTCCTGCCTCCCACATCTACCCCGGTGAGTAACCCCAGGTACTGCCGACTCCCCTGAGCCTAGGACAGGTTGTGTTTCATTTTCTCCCTTCAATCCAGCTGTGGGGTTTTTTCTAGAGCCAGGCCCGAGCCTCAGGCCTCCAAGTCCTCCAGTTTTAAGACAAACAGTGATCCGGAGAAGAGAATGTCGTCATAGCACAATGTCAGATTCCTCAGCAATCAGCCCCTCTCCGAGCCTGTGTCCTCGTCTGGAAAATGGGCATATAACAGCCTCTCCTCCCTCAAAGCGTTGTTGGGAGGATTCAATGAGATGAGGCAGGGAGGGCGCTCAGCACAGGGCCTGGCAGGCTGTAAGTACTTAATAAATATTCGCTATTATTATGTGTTAACATTTGAGAAAATATGGTGGGGACGTCCATTTCCTCCTTCCTCATCCCCACCGGGTCCAGAGCCAGCTTTGCAAATGGGGTTGGAGGTCTCCACCCAGGAGGTCCGCATTGCC